AATGACCTCAGCTAATTCCCTCAGCACTCTGGGGTAGAGTTTGTCCAGACCAGCTGATTTAAATACATCCAGTCCCTGTCTACAAAGATAGATGTAGTACAAACTATAAAAGGAATACAAAGGAACTTCTTGCGCGTATTGTTATCAGTCAAGTTCCTTTATTAAATGAATATAAAGGCATCATTTATTGTCTTATCACTTGCTATAGAGAGAATAAAACTTTCAGATATTGTGGACTTAATCTCTTTCTCAGTAGTGTGAATACCCTACAGAAAATCTGTATAATTAGCTGCAATACAACATGGTAAATTATTTGTCCCAATTTAAAATAATTTGATCATCTTTTTCATATCAAAGAGATACGTAGGTCCATGGCTAAGCAGTTTTCATTGAGTGTTGCTTTGGAATATTTTTTGGTGGTAAATGGAGGCATGTTTTTGTAAGCATTGCTGCATGTTTGTGCCATTGCCATGAAACACTTTAAATCAAACACAAATAATACTGGTTTACATAAATTCTCAGCAGCTGTCCAGGTGTCTGTATTAACCTGAATGTTTAGAAAGATGGAGCAATCTATGCAATATTTAAGTAGAAATAGAAAAAAAGCTGAAAGATTTCTCCCCAGGAAATAATACTTAGTATGCTTTTCTGGATGTAGCTACTAATTATGCAGTTTTTTGTCTAAACTATTCATAGCATCGGTAGTAGAGAAGCATGTGCAGTTTCAATTCAAACCCTTTAGAGACCGTGTCCTATAAAGTACTTAAGGCAGAGGGGATCCAAAATTAGCCAGTGAGAACAGTACTACCTTGTCTTGGGAGCAGTAAGTGATAAAGTTCTTGATAATTCTGAGCCCTTGGAGAGTTTACTCTTGTCTTGAAACAGCCACAAGAAAAATTTATTTTCCAAAAAGAAGCACTTGACCACTCTCACTGTAGGTAGTTTTGTTATTAAATGTATATGCTGTCCCCTCTTCTTTCTCAACTAGAGAGGCTCAGGGTGGCTTACAGTAAAAACCTGAGGATGGATACAAATATTAAACTAAAATAATATGTAATGGAATAAACTCCCTAAGCAGTGCCCCAAAGCTTTATCCCAGTTGCTGAAGGCCTGCCCAGATAATATCAGAGCTGTGAAGTTGCTGACCATGGCTTGTATTCCAGAGCTTTTGGCAAGACTGGTGCCTTTGCAGGACAGTAGGAGCTTGTGTTGCCCAGACTGCAGGTAACCTTGTGGCTAGGCTACTGATAAGAAGCAGAAACATCTACAGCCCAACCTTTTATTTGCTTACACCTTAAAACATGAAAACAGACTTCAGGATAAACGTTTATCTGGCTACCCATAACAGCACAACATAGATTCTGACCTATACTACCTGGGGAGACTTGAGAAATGGGAGGATGGTGGAACGCAGATTGCAGTGGGTCTTCTTGAAGCTACTGAATTCTCCAAATTTCCCTCCAGCCTGTTCCCAGTATTTATAGATGGCTGGTTCTAATACTCTAAGAAATGATTTCTGACTGGTTTTATTTAAATTTATTTCACTGAAACTTTTGGAACTGGATTAAACTGTATCTCTTGTGGACTTGAAGGTGTCAATTAGTTGGGATTTGTATCCTTGGGAAAGAGGGAGGGTTTCCTGTTTCTTCTTTGCTATAGTTTATGGTCTTCTCTGACAAGTCTGTTTTGGTTTTTTAAAATTATCTAAGAATGTTAACAAAAATTGATCTATTATAGCAGAAGTAACATTGAATGCATATAGTTACATCACTCACTACTACTAGTATGTTAAGGCTATGATATAGTGTATATGGATTATTTAATATGTGGTCTTCCCTTATCTCAGGGGTGGGCTAAGTCCAGGCAGAATTGGGCCATGGTGGACTCCATTTCCCAGCTCCCAGCCAGTCTCCATGGAGACCCCAGGAGCCCAGAGGTGAAACCAGCTCAGGGCCACAGAACTGGGGCTCTGCCCCAGCCAGGCCCTGCACTGTCATGCCTCCATGCTCCTGGGGTGCCCATGAAAACTGTCTGGGACCGGCAGGGTGCATGGCAGAGCGGCAAGCTGCTCTGGGCCTGGGATCTTGAAGCAGTGACAGCGTGGGGTGGGGCCAGGGCAGAGCTGAGATCCACTCCCTGCATGCCCGTGCCCACAGAACCCATGCTCGTTGCAGGGGCGTATGGACAGCGGATCACAGATCTGCCCTGGACCTGAAATATCTTCCTACCCAGCTGTGTGCCCTGCCCATGCCACTCTTGGCTGGTCTCTGTGGAGACCCTGTTAGTGCAGGGCTGTGACACCATGAAGCCAGGCTGGGTCAGGACAGAGCCGCAGTTCTGTGGCCCCACACTCCTGGGGTCTCCAGGGAGACCAGCCAGGAGCTGGGACTGCTGGGAAATAGACTCTGGCCACCAGTCAAATCTGCCATTTTGCCCATCTATCCTTTCAGGCCTTGTGCTTTCTTTTAATTGTGTTTGATCATTTGCTTTACTTGCTGACCACGTTAACTGTCACATCTGCAAATGTTCACACTGATTACTTGGCAATAGGCTTTGGGCCTTCTGCTTTGCAACACTCCTGCAGCTTAGCGTAGGCCCCTTGAAAATGGCCACAGCTGGCAACAGTCATGGTTTGTTATTCCAGAACTTTGGGCAAGACTGCACCTTTGCAGGCTGGTAGGAGCTTGAGGCTGATGAAGCAGTGTAATAGCCTGGATATCTCCTCGGAGTGGAAATGTGAAGCAATAGGAAGTTCAATAAGGAGTTTTCTTAGCCTGTAATACAGCCTCAACATAGAATTGAGAGGAATTTTCTGTATTTCATCCTGGCCACGTCAGCCTTGTTTTCTACCATTGATTGGTATGTGGATTTATGTCTACGTTTCTTCACTTGGCATAGTGTTTTGAAAAAAAGGAAATGCGTATGGTGGTGTTTAAGGGGCTATTTGGGGGTTAACAGGTTAACAATAGCGGCTAATATATAAATATAAAATGAATCATCAGTTCTTCCACTCGTCCTATGGACAGGCTGCTGTAGTCCTTTAGAAGGCTTTGGGATTTGTGGTACTTCATGATCAAATTGGAAATTACTGGTCTTTTCAGTGTTGGGAGCTAGAAGAGGTTATAAAGAGAGTAATAGTCTATCCAGCATAGCAGCTGTCTTGCAGTGTCTTTTGCCTTGACATTTAGACCAAAGGTGCGGTCTGGGATGTGGCCAGTAAAATATTGAATCAGAGGTGACCTGGGAAAGTCTAGGAAGGCAAATGATCAGTTTTTGGGGGGCTTCTGAATCCATAACAAAATTGATGTGTACCTGGAAGTCTTTTGTATCTGAAGCAACTTAACCACCAGTGTTGAAAAGGTATTGGCGAGCTCTTTACAAATGTAGCTCTTTGCTATATATATTCATAATACAGTCTTGCCTAGATTTCTGGCTGATCAGATAACATTAGCCCTAAACATGTCTTTGACAAGCAGTTGTCAAAGATTTTGCACCTTTTCCTTTTGGGTATAGAAATGGATAGTTCTCTTCCTTTTGTTATTCAGACTGGTTTATTGCAGTGGGCTGTATGTGGGTTGGTATTATAAAATTATAGTTGGTGCAGAATGTGACTGTTTGAGAGTCTTCACAGAGAGTGCTACATCTCTGCTCTGACCTCCTTTGGCTGCTTTGTGAAGTTGAAGATGATGATTGTGGCCCAAGAAGCCCCAAATGTCTTTGTTCCAATTCCCTTTAGGATTCCCATGCCGGCTCTTGGCAGCTGCACTCAGCAGAGGGTTTTTGGGTTATCAGAGTGCTGACAGCATGATGTTATAAAAGGAAAGTATTTGAACTAAGTCATTTCTTTTCCCCTGCCCTTGCGTATACTTGGCCTACCAGCCTAGCTTTGTTGTCTCAGACTTCTCTTTGGGAAATGGCTAATCTGGGGTGTAAGTGCAGGGTAAAAAGTCAGGGAGGATGACTTTGTGTTTGGTTTGGGGATAATACGAGTACTACGAGCCTACTGCAGCTTTGTTAATATTTTCCACTTATGTATAAGAAGTTACAACTCTAAATGAAAGATTTTTAATTTAAACTGTAATAGTCCTGAGTAGGCTACATTGTGCAAACGTAAGTTTTAGTGGTGGCATTACATAAATAATTTTCACACTTGTGCTTATTAGGCATTCCAGTTCAGTGTGTTAAATCAATGTCAGGAAGATATTAATATACTGGATAACTTAAATCTCTGAATACACTATGCTACTAGAAGGTCATGGAGATGTTAGTCTCTGAAAGCATGTGCCTTGCAAAATGTAAATGTAAAATAGATAAACTGGAGTAGCAAATAAAACCTGTGCACATTTTCAATTTCATGCAGGGGACAGCACTGTTATGGCTTCCATCAGGACTGAAATTGTTTGCTGTTTTCTATACCCTAGGAAATGTTGCTGCATTAGCCAGGTATGAATTATTTTCTTAGTTATCATTTAAGAAGTACAGTATTTAACATTTTTATCTGAATTTCCAGTTGTTGTAACCAATTATCTGACGATTACATTAAAGATGACCACTGTGAGCAACAATGCTGTTTACAATTTCAAGTTCTTATTTTGTACTTAAATCACAGTAAGTGAATAGCAGTTCCTTATTTGCCCCTCTCAGATTATTTTGTAGTTCATATGTTTGCTTCATAAATATATCTAGATGGATTTTTACTTTGGCTAGCAGGTATAGACTATATATTTTGAATTTCTGTGTGCATATCATCCTTCTGTGACTTCCTCCTTCTTCAGATAACTAAAGTCTTTTCCATATAGGCATTTCAGCATGTTCGGGAGTGGGACTGGTGGGCAAGGCCAGGATTAGAGGGCAAGGTCATGGGGTAATGATAGTGCAGGGCCAGGGCCTGGGGCAGAGATGCAATCTGCTGCCCACACACCCCTGAAAGGGACGCCAGTTCCACAGGCAGGGGTATGCAGGGAGCAAGCAGGTTGCAGCTCTGCCCTGGGCCCTGGACCTTTGCTGTCACTGCCCCAAGATCCCTGACACAGGTCCCCACACACGGGCCCCATCCCATCTGCCTGGCTGTATACGGCTCCCTGCCAGTCTCCGTGGAGACCCCAGGATTGTGGGGCAGTGACAGTGTGGGGCTGGGGCATAGCTTCAATTCATTCCCTACATGTCCCTGCCTGCAGAACCAGAACCTGTTACAGGGGTGTATAGGCAAATCATGCAATCCACTCCCTGCAGGTCTCTGCCCCAGCCCCACACTGTCACTGCCCCGTGATCCTAGCGTCTCCAAAGAGACTGGCTGGGAGCTGTGTGGGGAGGGCACACAACCGGGCGGTTGGCATGGGGCCACAGGCAGGCAAGGAAGCTGTGTCTGGGTCTAGGGCCAGGATCTGAGGGCAGTGACAGAACAGGGCTGGGCCAGTGACACGATCCACTGCCCTCACGCCCCTGCTTGCAGAACCCATGCTCATCGCAGGGACGTGCAGGGAGCAGATCACAGCTCTTCCCTGGGCCCTGGCCCTGCATTGTCATTGCCCCAAGATGCCGGGGTCTCCCTGGCCCCATCCACCCATCTCACTCCCAGACACCATCCACCTGTGCACCCTACCCAGTAGGTGCAGGGTGGATGGGTCAGGGTGCCCATGTAGCAGGGCCAGGTGTGTTGGCTGCGGCAGCCAGAAGGAGATGCCACCACCGGGGCTGCTGGAAAGCAAATCTGGCCATCCCAGCCTTGCTGTGTGCGCCTAGGGGCAGTGGGACCAGCTACACACTCCATGGCTCGGGCTGCCCCCCACACCTGGGCTGGGCAGGAGCTAGGGAGCCACTGCAGGCTGGACAAAATCTCTTGGCAGTCTGGATCTGGCCTGTGGGCTATATTTTGCGCACCCCCATGTTAGAGTCTGGTTTGTACAGACATGGTGACATCTACGTCTCTGGCTTATGAGGTTCACTACTGTGTACTAGAGGAACTGCTACTTCCTTTAGCCTTCTTATGATAGTTAATTCATGTGTAGATAAAGTACAGGGTTAACCTGAACCATAAAGGCAAGTTGTAGTGTTTCCTGATAGGAAAGGATGCAGGTAGATGTGGAAGCAGCTCTTTCGCCATCCAAATAGAGCAGTGAATACAGTATGGCATGCAGCATATTGTTTGAGCCAGTTCCTTCAAAAGAAGTTTGGAGGAGTGTTGGCAAGTTCTTTACCCCCCACACACACACACTTAAAACATCACATCAGTCTTAGATGAAACAAGTGGTCTCAAAACTTAAATCATCTTTTGATTCTTGGCAACCAGTAGGATGTGTTGGCTGTGGTTCCATTGGTGGTTAAGAAGATGTATGCTTGAGTGGTATCTCTGTATTGGTAACACAGAAGTCTAAAGACTTCATCATTTTCATGGCCCTTTATAGAAGCTAGAGGGGAAGAACTGAATCATGTAGGGCACCGTAAACTAGGAGTTTGGATGATAGTGTTTCATCTCCTTACATGCTAGCATAATAGGAGGTATATAATCTTGATGTTGTGCAGAACTCTCATCCTTAGAAAGGGGTATGATGCCCCTCCCTGACTCCTCCAAGAAGCAGTAATTAGCAGTACCATTTAAAATAAGTTTTTGAAGAAAATTGGATCAGAGTAGAGACCTCATTCTCTTTGCCCTTTCTTCAAAGCTTCCTTTGAAATATAGATATTATTGTTTAATGTCTTTAACATCCTGCATCAGGCCTTATGGGTGTTGTCAGCACTAGATCAGATATGGCTTTAAAGAAAATGACAGTTGCTTAATCTAGGGAAGATGTACACTTCTTAAAGACTAGTTTTATACTGCAGCCATGTAATAGGAAGTTTTAAAAAGAGAGAATAACCACTCAGGTTGGTACAGAATTGTATTACATGCACAGGTGATCTTACAGTGACATCAACATGCAATTCTGCTCTTCATATCCAAGTACTGCACATGGATGTACATCCTGCAGAACAGTACTCATCAAGTTTCTTAAATGTTCCTACTGGATCATTTCTGCTGATGTTCTTAAATTAAAGCTCTAACAGTGTAGTGTAATGTTGGTTTAGATCAGTGGTGCTAACCCTTTAGCCCCACAGGCCAGATGAGCAGCCCAGATCTGATCTACAGGCTGGATGGAACCCAGAGTGCCAGTATCAGATCCTAGCACCTGCCACTGTCCCTTTCCTGCCCTGTGCACTTGGATTAGGCCCCAGAAGCCTGACACAGCCCCCTCCCACACCTCTGAAACTTTTAACAATAGGTTGTTTAATATACTGATGATTGGGGGAGGAGGTGGGGAATGGTGTCTTGGGATACATATATTCTGTTCCTGGCTCTTGCCAGTTTTCTGCAACAGTGATAGTCATTTAACTTCAGAACCAGTTAGTCCGTCTGTCAGTGCAAGGTCATCATAAGTTGTACCTTGCAGGCAGTATAACACTAATGTTTGAAAAATGTGGAGGATCTTCACAGGTGCTGTAAAAGTACAAAATGCCTGTCAATTATTTTGTCCAGTTCTTTTGTTTCAGTAACATTTCAGTTCTTTGTAAAAAGTGTAAGATACTACATTTAAATCAATTCTCCCCTTTTGCATGATTATTTTATCTATTCTACCTATTCCTTGATGTTTCATTCCCATTAGAAGTAGGCAAAGCTGATATTCCCTGCCAAATTAACTTTAGTTTTATTCTTATACCTTTTGTAGGGAAAAGGAAATGATTAGTGTCCTCACCTCAGGAAATATTTTCAGAGTTTAAAATTAAATTTAGTCATTTGACTGCCATTGATGAGGAAGACCTGGTTCCTTGTGAAGCAAGATCCATGTCTTCAAAGATTCAGATATTTCTTTAACACTGACAATGAAAAAATATGCTTTGGTCTGAGCTTATTAGCTCAAGGCTGTCCAGCTTCTAAGTGGCTGGTGGCCAAACACCTTATGTGCCACACAAGTGGGGACCACATGCCCAGGGATTGCACCAAGGTGAGCCTCAGGCATCTCACTCCAGGGATGCCTCCTGTCACTGCTACACCACATGGGTGCCTCCCCTCCCAATCACTGCACTGTGCAGATGTGCCCATGCCTCCTCCCCATGCATGAACCTCTGCACCATGTGTCAGCACTGCTCCTCAACTCCTTTTGCTGTACTGCACTTCCATGTCCCCTGCTGCCAGCACAGAAAGCAGAAGCTGGAGGCAGAAGAGGGAGCCAAGCGAATTCTGCTGTTACAGCTGGAACAGTGAAGGGAACAGTGGCCAGAGGAGCACAGAGACTGCAACTTAACCCCTCACAGGCCACATGCAGCCTGCAGACTGCCACTTGGACAGCCCTACCTGTTGTCATTAAGCTTCACTTATTAGAAGAGGAAAAGGTAGTAGTCATGCTTGGTCCTCACATTTAGACAACCACTCCATGCCGCTTGCTTTTTATATACTATTTCAGACTTTCACACCCTAACTTGCCTTCAGCTCTGTCGCCCCTTTCCTTGCCTTCCACCCATATCAATTCTATACTTTCTACCTTCCGGATTTCATCATAGGGCTGCCTGAATAATTAAGCTTTTAGTTCATTAGCCAAGCCAAAAAAATTAAGAGAGAAATTGTAGATCGAATTGAGCTGAATTTTAGGTATTTCACATTCTTTATGCTCAAGTGAGAAATGTTTGTGTTGAACAAGTCAAAACTTAGTTTTCAGTTGCTTGTTTTTAATAAAAGCCTGTTATCAGTGAGCTGCTGGAGAAGGAGAAGGTAGTAGTGTGCTCTTACCCAATTTTTTAGAGCAGCCCCCAAGATAGGAGAGATCTGATTTTAATTCTTTTCTCCTAAGGAGATTGACTGACAGCATGGCCTAGTCAGTAAACTATGGGCTAGCCTGAAATGGTTTATCCTCACTCTCCTTTTGACATAATTCTATTGTATATAAACAATTCACGGAAACAGGGACTGGAATTTAGGTCTTCCCTGTCTAGCAAAGGCACCTAAACCACCAGGATATAGTCATTTTCACTGTCTTCATGGAAAAAGAACTTTGTATAAAGTTAAGCATCTCCAAAAGGAGGAGGGATTGAAGGGTCTCAGAATATCTATCTCAGAATATCCTAGTGCCTGGTATTTAGGAAAATGACATGTGCAAGACCTGATTCAGGTTTACTTTCTGCCTGAACAATTCTGGACACGGCTGTAGAAGATCAAATTTACCACAGACCTTTATTCTTTGTGCATTAGGTACAGTTCAGGCTTAGAAGAAAGGTGGAGGATTTGGCAAGAACTGCAGGGCCTGCTCCCATGTTTGCTTGTTTGCTTATCTGCTAAGCTCATGCAAAAAAAAAAAAAAAAAAATGTGCCCCTACATTCT